AGGTGGCAGGCGCTGCCCCGGCCGGAGCCCGGGGAACTGCCCCGGAGTGGGGCTTGGCCACCACCAGCCTCTCCGGGGGAGCAGAGGGGGAGACTGGCCAGAGGGGAAGGGGCTGTGCTGGGGTCAGGGCATCTGCCGTGGGGAAGGACCAGAGGGTAGGAGCGTGGAAGCCTGTTCTCTGCCCCAAAATGCGTAGCCAGAATAGAGCAAGACCTTTAGCCATGTAGCACCAACTCATTGCTTTGAGAGTAGGTAGGGATGAGGCCCTCTGCTCCCTTTCAGTCCCTCCAGCAGAGCCTCCTGGTCACGCTAATGCCTTGGCTCACTGGGAAAAGCTCAGTTTCCCTTCTCCTGGCAGCGGGGAGGTTCCTGCTGGCAGGGTGCTGGGCACCCCAAGCCACGGGCTCCTCAAACGCTGGGCTCCCTGCCCAGAGACTGGAGAGCGGCTCAGCCTGTGGAGAGAGGGCAGCACTCCTGCGCCCACCTTTGCCAGAGACAGCTGCAATTTGAGCCGAGCTGAGAGGTCTCGCTGCTGGAAGAGGGGCTGTGAGAGAGAGATGAGCAGGAGAGCGTCGGGGCAGCAGTGAGAGGGCAGGAGCTGGGAAGGGTGGCATGGCCCTTGCTAGGAGAAGCACTTGCCTGTGGCATTGCCTGGACCTGAGCAGTGTCCAGAGAGGGATCCAGACTCTCCTATTGCAGTGGTGCGTATTTGGGCTCTGCTTCAGCATCACCTGCTGTTTTTCTTCATAGCACTGATCCGAGATTATTGAAACCCAGGGAAGTTAGAGGGAGGGGAAGGGGAAACAGGGACTGCCATGGTGTGGCGAGGCTTCAGGCTGCTCCGCTCAGGCAGCCCGTTCCTGGGAGAGACCAATGCAGTGTGAGAACTGGCTGGGATCTGAGCAGAATAGGAGCCAGGGCCCTACAGGGATGTGGAAGGAGCTGGGCTGTGTGAACATGCCTGAAGGTGCTGGCAGCCCAACCAGGAACAGCTCTTGTTTGACCTGCAAAGAAGGGATCAGACTGTTTGGGAAACTGCGCTCCCTTTCTCCTATGAATGCTTTAGGATGAGCCATGGCTGAGGATCCGTGCAGAACTTTGCCTGGGGCGTGTGATATGCCAGGCAGAGCCTGGGAGCAGATCCAGGAGTCCCTGAGGCTGTAGCTGGGTTGCCCCTTGGAGCCCCCCCTCCCACATCCCTGTTTACACATAGGCAAGGCCCCACAGTACCCATGTGGTGCTGTGGAAGCAGAGGATGTCCATGCCTGGAGGGGAGGCAGGAGTGAGCATGGCAGCGAGGACTGTCTGCCCTGGATGCTTAGAGGCCACGTCTGCAAGACTTGAGATGGAAAGCGCTGGGCTGGGAGGCGGTGCAGGAGCAGAGGGAGATACTCCATGGAAAAGGGTGAAAGGAGTTTAGAGAGCACCTGAAATGAGGGGAATGCTGTTAAGAGTGCGAGTGTCAGAGGTGCTGCCCTATCCGAGCTACTGCAGAAAGCAGAGCAGGAGTGCCAGCAACTGAGCCCCAGCTTTGTCCTCCATAACTGAGCCCATGCAGGCTGAGCTCTTGCCCACTGTGAAGGCAGCTGGGTGGGAACAGGGCTGAGCCATGCCGTGCTCAGCAGGATGGCTCCCAGCTGGGCTGGGCGAGGGGGAAGGCAGCTTTCACCCCCTCAGCTGCGTCTTCAGCCAGCCAGGCTGTGTAATTCCCTCTGACAGTTCAATGCAGAGCGAAGCCAGCAGCTTCGCGGCGGCGGACGCATGAAAGGTGAGCGCATTGGAGCCTGAATAATGCGGGGAGCTGCTCTTTCCAGCACGCTGCCCGGGGAGCCTGGGGGCAGGGAGCAAATGCTGACCCTGGGCTCTTCCCTGCACTGCCTTCCCCCGGGACGTGCGGTGTGTCCTGACCTCTCCACCTCAGTCCCGCCAAGCCTGTCATGGAGCCAGGACAAGTGCAATGTATTTGCTGGCTGGCTGCTCTCAAGAAGATAGGAGCGTCATCCTAAAAGGCTTTGGGGGCGTGGGGAAAGGGCTACGAGACTTGAGACAGTGACTCTGCACCTCTGCATTCCTG